TCTCTCTCTCTCTCTCTCTCTCTCTCTCTCTCTCTCTCTCTCTCTCTCTCTCTCTCTCTCTCTCTCTCTCTACACACACACACACACACACACATGCGCCAACCTTCGGATCTTGTATGCGGGATGATGTCCTTCTTTTTCTCGTGTGTCTAGTTTTGACAAGTGGCATCGACCCTTTTTTACTCATGAATATCCCCGGTTCGTGTTTTTCTTAGCGATCGGTTTGATTTTCCCTCCTGACTCCTGTTTCACTGCAGTATGGTGAGATCGGGTACGACGATTGTCTGCGCGTGACCTCGGTGAGCTTGGGTTATGATGATGCAGTCTTCTTCGATTCCATTGCTTGATGCATAAACCTTTGTTGGTCTCTCGTTTATGTTTTTCTGGAAATTTGCACTGCCCTCGAGTTCGATTGATGCATGAGTATCGGGAAAATGCATCTGCGAAACCAAGTTGCCAGGCGGACCAATCACGCGATTGTTGATACTGTCTCTGTCGAATCACTCGTATGCATGTTAGTTTCCCGTTTCTTTTTGGCCAGAAAAGAAAGTCTAATGAAAACTCCACGGTCCTGGCTGATGTATGCTTTGGCTGATAAGTGGATGGCTGATTCAAATGTGTGAATACCCTCCGATTGCCTTCCTAATGTTTGTTTCTTGACACGTGCACTCGAAAGCGTAAGTGCCACGTGCTGGGCTGACATGTCGACTGATCTTACGATCCCCTGACCAAAGAATAGCCAGTTGATCCGATCCAACCGATTGGGCTCGACCAAAAAGGGCGTCGCCTACACACGTGTTTGCAAGACCCACGCTCGAGTCCATGTCTAAACTCGCAAATTTTCGATAGCACGGATGATGGGACTACCTTCAATGTCACGGATCGGGAAAGCCTGAGACATCGACAGTTCCGAAAATAATGGGAGTGGCAAAACGCCTGTCTTCTCGCACGACCCCACCCCAACCCTCCAAGATTCCCTTTTCGGATCAGGAACGAACATGTCTGTGAGTGGGATATTGAACGGGCCTTAAGCACGATCCTTTTTCCCTCCCAATTCCCCGGCTCATACGCCAGCCACGTTATCGTCGAACCTTGCGTTATCCTCATTGATACAGACCACCCTCCTTACCACCTCGCGTTGCCTTTTTAATGTCAGACGGCAGCCCTGTGGCACACGCTCGCCCCCTATTGGCCTCGAACCCTGAGCTCCGAGTGTCAGTAGGACAGCGAGTACCGAGCTGCGGGGTTCGTTCGACGAACCCGGACTGAGGCCGAGCAGCGAGCACACAGCCTACGCCTGAGGCCCGCATCATCCGACTCCGAGGCTTGTCACGAGCGACGTCAGCGATTAATCAGGGGCGTTGTCAGAGCAGAAACCCTTACAAGGGTATCTGCTCGGGTTTTTCAAGGTCGGACGTTGTCCGACGTTTTCGTTAATTTAAAGGACTTGATGAGACTGACGTTTGCAAAAGTTTATTCAGACCTACCCTATGACCGAGAAGACTACAATTGTTTAAGTTGAGGTTCGAACGCTTGTGACGTCCGACAATAATAGCGGTAGTCATCAGTGTGACCGGTTAGTCGCGGCTCTTAATAGAGTCGCGGCAACACACAGTCGTGGGAATGCTAAAACTAGACCTAGCCTACCTAAAAGAATGGCACGCGGCTGCTAAGCCGCGCGATTTAGAGCCTAACTAGGCTAAAAGGTACGACCGCGCCGGACATGGAGCCGCGGCGTGGAAGGAATAAGAGACCTATATTTTATTTTTTTTGGGACGTGGGGTTTGACTCTGTCCGGGGTCCGTAACTGCATCGACGGTTTAGGGGCCAAGTGGTCCACCCAGCGAGGTTGGACATTGCGGAGCCAGGCACAAGCGGCCAATTCAATGGCCGACCAAGGCCGACAAAACCAGCCAAGCTAAGGGCTGGAGCGGGAAATGCTTGCTGGGCCACAGGCTGGAGGGTTGGCCTCC